TTCTCCTGCCTCAGCCTCCTGAGTAGCTGGGATTACAGGCACGCGAGTGGCGGGATCTTGACTCACCTTAACCTCCACCTCCCAGGTTTAAGCGACTCTGCTTCTGGAGTAGCTGGGATTACAGTCGCGTGCCACTACTGCCCAGCTATCTTTTGTATTTTTACTAGAGACTGGGTTTCACCACATTGGCCAGAGTTGTCTCCAACTCCTGACCTCAAATGATCCACCTCCCTCAGCCTCCCAAAGTGCTGGGATTACAGGTGTGAGCCCCGCACCTGGTCCAGAGTTAACTACTTTTAATGTTGTTCTCTAATCTAATTTCTTACTCGGCAATAAATTGGATCTTTCATTCTCAATAAATATTCATTACCGGCCGGGCGCGGTGGCTCACGCCTGTAATCCCAGCACTTTGGGAGGCTGAGGCGGGTGGATCACGAGGTCAAGAAATCGAGGCCATCCTGGTCAACATGGTGAAACCCCGTCTCTACTAAAAATACAAAAAAAAATTAGCTGGGCATGGTGGTGCGTGCCTGTAATCCCAGCTACTCAGGAGGCTGAGGCAGGAGAATTGCCTGAACCCAGGAGGTGGAGGTTGCGGTGAGCCGAGATCGTGCCATTGCACTCCAGCCTGGGTAACATGAGTGAAACTCCGTCTCAAAAAAAAAAAAAAAAAATATTCATTACCTTATTATTTTTAGTGACTGCCTGATAGTCCATTATAGAGTTTTATCTATATAAATAAATATAAATATATATATACATAAAATGTATTTAACCAATCCCCTAATTGTGGAAGTTTAGGTTGTTTCTGATTTTTCATTATTATAATCAATACTTTATTGAACAATCTTGCCCAATTCGTTTTTGTACATTTGTCTTATCTCTTTGAAATTCAATGAGTTGAACACAGTTGGACTAGGAAGTTTCTTTTCTTTTCTTTTCTTTTTTAAGATGGAGTTTCACCATGTTCGTCAGGCTGGTCTTGAACTCCCGACCTCAGGTGATCCACCTGCCTTGGCCTCCAAAGTGCTTGGATTACAGGCATGAGCCACTACACCCGGCCTAGGAAGGTTCTTATTAGCCGTAACAGTATCTTGGGAAAATCCCTCAGTGTTTACAACACTGCCACTGCACAATGCTGATGTTTGGTTTTAAAATTTAAGGTCATTTTAAAAGTACATTATCCTTTATTTTTAAGTAGTCACAACTGTTGAGATTTCTTCTCATGCTTTAAAGTTTAGAAATTTATCCTTTGCAAGGCCCAAAAAGGAGGGAAAGAAAAATCAGCCTTTTTCTAAAGATCTGGCAAATAATTAATTCTGTTTTCAACAATTTACAGATAGATTTACCGTGGTTTTTAGTTTTAGACAGCAGACAACAAATTGAATAATCCATCTGAAATTTATTTTGATGTGATTCAAAGTGAAAGGTTAAATTAGCTTTTCCTAATTTACTGAGAGCTTGGTTCCTTTCCTTGCACTTTATCATGTATTACAGTCTTTTATGTGATTGAGATTAATTCTATCAATTGTGCATGCTATTGATTCTATTCTGATTTACATTTCTACCATGACAACAATATTTTATTTATTGCCACTCTATTAGCCTTTTTAGGAACGTTCATCAATACCAATTTATTCCAAAGGAAATATAGAAATCCATATACAATTTAGAAATTCCAAACGAACTACCAATGAAAGTTTTATTGCTATTGCAATCAGCTATACATTGAGAATTAACATTTTATTTTTTTTATTTTATTTTTTTTTCTGAGACGGAGTTTCACTCATGTTACCCAGGCTGGAGTGCAATGGCGCGATCTCGGCTCACCGCAACCTCTGCCTCCTGGGTTCAGGCAATTCTCCTGCCTCAGCCTCCTGAGTAGCTGGGATTACAGGCACGCACCCCCATGCCCAGCTAATGTTTTGTATTTTTGGTAGAGACGGGGTTTCACCATGTTGACCAGGATGGTCTCGATCTCTTGACCTCGTGATCCACCCGCCTCGGCCTCCCAAAGTGCTGGGATTACAGGCTTGAGCCACCGCGCCCGGCCGAGAATTAACATTTTAGAATATTTAGTTCTCACACCTAAGGGAGGTATATTTAGATACATATATCTCTTTAAAGATCTCTAAATTCAGTATCACATATTTTGAGGTTCCTTCTCTAAGTCACACAATCCCCCAAGAAGATGATGCCTGAGTATTTTATGGATTTTGTAGATATTGTGATGAAATCTTTTTTTGAACCCTGTAATTTCAAGTGTTTGAAGTAAACATTGAATGTTTGCTATTGATTCTATATCTCCTGAAAAAAATTTAATTAAAATCCTTCACTTGATTATTTTATACTTTCTAATAATACATTCTGCATTATTTTCTTATTGTATCTTCTTATTTCTCTGTCATGACTTATGGCACTGGCCAGAACTACCAAAGGAACATTAATGCATAAAGTGATAATCCATTTTATAAAAA